AAGCCGGTTCATGACACAGACTCTGGTTATGGTGGATTAGGGTCAGCGTTGTCTTGCATCCGTTTCCTTTAGTGTCTAGATACCAAGGTTTATAGAACTATTGTTTAAAATTAATCTTTTTCGATTTCGATCTTTAATCTTTGCCTATCTATAACTAATGTTATCAAGAGGTAATATTTGTATATTTGTATTTATAACTCAAAATTTACACGGCTGATTTTTTAAATTTTTACACTTTTAAAAAGTTACGATATTAGTAAGTAACATAGGCTACATTTATTAATTCCACGCGGAGGAAGTTACGAGAAATAGCTATTAAAATATAGAGGAAGGAATTATTTTATTTTTAAAGGTCAAAAAAATCAAGAGGCCTTTCGTTTACATTACGATGGTCTACATTTTTCCTCGATTAAAAAAATATTTTATTACAGTCATAGTAATTATTGCACTAAAATGCAACAGAGCGTAACGAAAAAAATAAAATGACTCAATGCATTTTACATAACATTCTTTAATTAAACACATATGTGGCTTAAACCTTTAAAATTTTAAACGTAAAATTATACCCGAGTGTAAAAACTTGCTAAGCGGTAAAGCTTGTTATAACACCTTATTTTCGCATGCAAATAACATCGTTGCTGGATTAGCACGTTCTATAATTCTCTACAATGTAAAGTTGCTTGCTAATATTTTAAACCGTAACATGTATCTTATGACGTACAAATTACTTACTACTTTAACTTTGTGTGTATGATTCTTGATATGATTACTGTCAACGTGTAGTATTGTTTTTTTGACGAGCAAAACCTTGTGTAGAAGGACTTCGAGGTGATCATCGACATGTATAGACATCCACAATACTAGAGGAATTGTAAATACTTTGCCGTTGAGGTGATTTTACACTGCTACAAACACACGCTTTGTACAAACTTTTCGTTCTGATCTCTTTAATTAAGCTCCTCTATTGTGGTTTGCGGTGTTTCAAAAAGACACCTTAATTATAGCGTCTATGTACAGTCGGGGATACTGGCGGTGTTATCTTAAAATCGACAATCGTTTAAAATTTTTTAAAAGAGACGCGAAACAAAAACCACTACAACGCGGGTTATAAATGAACCAGTAAGAAAAAAGTCGGTTTGTGATACACGGCTACTTTTTTATTATTACCCATTCGATTGTGCCACTAATTGTTATCTAATTAGTTATTTGTAGGAAGAGGCGGAGTTTGTCTAGTTACAATAAATACGGCAATTGTTCCTAAAGTGGTACACCGCGGATTTCTGGGATTGTACCTCCTGTCGGGCTACAGGTATGCGTATGTAACAAACGAAATGAAGTCTGTATTTACGTAAGACGCGGTAATTCTGTGTGTTAACTGCGGTGAGGATTGTAGCGGACTTACGAAACGCCCGATCATCGTTAGTGCGTGCGCGCATTGCCCTGGTTTCGTTTTTACTGCAAATATTTTGAACGTTAGATGCTAAGAAAAGAATTGGTTGAACTGATTTTGCGTGAAGGTTAAGAATACGAAACATATTTATTTTTTAATGTTAATAAACAAGCTTTTAATATTTGAAACTGTATTAAGTATTTGAATTATTTTTGCAACTCTTTATGGCTGCACACAAACATCTAATGCACACAAGCTATCTAATTTTAGTACGATCATAATAACCTCCTAAAGTCATACCGTTATTGTTAAAAATGTCCTATTGACAGCTTCAGAGTCGAGAATTTGTTAACACTTTCGTGCTAAAATGCTTGTCTCGATTTTCAGTTATTTTAAAGCGAGGTCATGTTACAATGTATACGAGAAAATATAAAATAACTATAAGTCAACAGTCAGCCAAACACACGTTTCTTATTATCCTTTTTTACACAATAAGTACAGAGTTATGTAACACTTAGTTTATCTACAAAGCAGTTCCCTACGCGATCATAAAAAGTCAAGGAAATGGCTTTGTAAATCTATGGTTATTCGACATAGAAGTCTTTTATGACACAATGGGTTGTGAATAAGCTTGTAAAAGGCGTCAAATGCTTCCACTTGGCTTTATAGTATTTGTACGGATATGTTTGTCACGATTTGAATTACCGTTCATAGCTCAGATTGTATATTGTATTTACTGATAATGTTTTCAAATATTTCGCACGTAGTTTACGAAATTCAGAGATTTAACATTGACTTTTATCGATCTTTATAATGTGTTACAATAGTCAATTTTATTGTCATATCTCACGTGATACATGCAAACTTTAGTATTGAAAATACAGTCAAATTTAATTCATCAGTATTTAACACAACTTAGAGTAACGAGGCCGTAAAAATCACAATAACATATCGATTTACAATATTATAATTGACTTGCTTTCGCCCGCGCCTCCGTCCGCGTGGTATTAAAAAATAAGTAGCCTGTGTTCCTCCAGATTGTACTTTACATCTGTGCCAAATTTCATTGAGGTCCGTTCAGCCGTTTAGGCTATAAACTCTAACAAACATCGATCCATCCATCCATCTAAACTTTCGCATGTATAATATTACTATATTACTAAGAAGTAACACTAAGCATACGAATATTGATCGCATATTTTAGACGATTAGTTAGTTTGAGAATACAAATTAACGATGATGTCTAATTCTTTACAAAAATTGTCTCTAACTAATATAAATACGAACAGTAAAAGATATAACAATGGATGTTTCTAACAGTATTGTGTATTAAACATAACATAGTATAGTATGTAATTAGCCTGATAAATCGGCTAATGCTGGCGCGTACGTTCCGCATAACTTAATTGGAAACCACTTTCTGCAGCTATCGGCCGTCAGCTTCTTAACATAGAAAGTATAAGCCGTGGTTTGCTTTAATTTTATAACATTAGTAGATTTAAATGTTTTTACCTTTTTTATATGCGTATCTTACTTTTTAATTATTATTAAAAAGTTTATGTTTATTCGACTTTTACTTCAGGGTACTTAAACATATTAAATTCATAATTAAAATACAAATTAATTAAAATTAAAAACTTTAACGATGGTCTTTGTTACCAAAATTATTAAATTTAAGAGTACAATTTTTTTAAAGCATGAAATTATAAAGTTTATAAACGTAATACTAATTAACAAAAGCATAATAATTTGCGTATAAGCAAATTACACTGATAACGTAAGTTAATTATACAAAATTACAAAATACCAGAAGTTAATCGAGAAATCAATTCGTCGATCGATTTAAATGAACGCATCCAAACACGTTATATAATTTCACCACAGCCTAACAAATTAACGTGAGTTTTTACTGGCCATTCGTAAAATATAGTTGTCTCTATCATTCTCTTTATAAAAACTGAGATGAAGTGTTTTGTTTTGACTTCGCTGAAGGAAATTCACGGGTTACCTAACATAACCCACACACGTGTTATGCGAGTGTTGACTTTTACATTGTTTTATTTTGTTTAGATCTTTATCTTATTTTAAATCAGAGGAAACTAATGTACGCTGCTTTCGCTTCTTTGATCTTTGCTTTTTTTGCAAATCTTTTTATTTTAAACATCGCTGTGGCAGAACGAAAAAGAGGTTTTACGTATGTTAGACCGCTGATCTTTGTATCGTAAATTTAAGATATATTTTATATGGTAGATTGCTAACTTTTGCTTGCGAATTCGTCCGCGCGAAATCAATAAAATCTAATAAAAGATGTTAGTCAGTGATCATGTAGCTGACAAAAGAATTTTTGATAACGATGCCGTAGTTTTTGGGTGTATTCGTTACATGCAAAAATGTAAATTTTTCCTCTTAATAAGTGTAGAAAATACAATAATCAGAGTGAAATAGTGATTGGCATAAATTACCATTCGTTTAAAAAAGTTTCCTTGGAAAAGAAGACTAAAATCTATTTATATATCTCCAAAGGACAAAATGCACGCATGCTGAAACAGAAAACTGCGTTGTTTATAGTCTATGGTCATTGACCTGCTTCATCCGGGGTGTCATCCTAATGTGGATAGATTTAATTTCATATTAACATATCCGGCGATTCTTCAAAATAGATATTCCATCGAACAGAACAGAATTAAAAAAAGATTTTGTAATTTCAAAACAGTTTTAATTTGATAAATTTCAATAGAATTGATCGTTTCAATTTTGCGTGATTTTCACCGCGATTTAAAGATCTTTGATACCATTTTCTTGATTTTTAGACAGTACTTATATAAACAATATAATAATCCAGGTTACCGCGGATGTATTAAATTATGAAATAATAATAAACTCACCTAAAGATAATCGAAAATCCATATAAGTTAAGACCGTTTAACTACAAGCTGCGATTTGCTCGGTACAATAAAAGTCTATATAATTTTCCAATTAAATTTCCACACTTGCACAAACCACATGTAGGCCGATCAGAAACTGCCGCGAGAAATCGTTCTGTAAACATCTTTAATGTCCATGCAAATCCACACAGGGAATGCGAGAGAAAATACTTCGATACATATTTACATAAATCCTCACGATATGAAGAGAAATATCGATATCGATACAGATTAGAACATCACTAATTGGTAATCGGAAAATAAACGATTTCCCGCACAACGAAACCGTTTCTGTATATGTAGTTTGCACGAATCCTTCGTTATTGAAACAAACTATAGTAACCGATACTAGCTTTCATACATATGTAGATTTAAAAGGCGTGTTTTAAACGCGATGTTTATATGCGGACGTGATTGACTAACAAATAGATAGACAGACATTCGTATGTAAATTTTACATATTTAACGGTATGCATGGTAAAAAGTTTTTTTGTACAATTTTAAAGAAAGTTTCGATTGAATAAGAGTCAATCTATATGCAAGTAGCGTTTTCTATGACTCTAGATAAGGTTAAGCTTTGAAATTAATTAAAAAAATTAACTTTAACTGTTGATAGACACAAATAGTACAATAGTATATTGTATACAAAATTATTGCTAAAGCAATAGGAACATATATTTACTTACTTTAAAAAAATCCAAGTCCTTATGGAGTTTATTTCCAAATGATCAAACACAAATCCAGAACAATTTCAAATAAAATTTTCGATTAAAACACAATCACACTTCCTAATATCAAAGTTAACAAGATTAGACAGGTTATTTTGAATCGCTACCGTTTCGCGAAGACGGTGCGTCACGACGTAAGACACGTCCGAACTCTCGTGTGTCTACTTTCGAACTGAAGTAAGCAAGGCAAGGCAAGACTCGAGTTGAGATTGTCCGGAATGGGTATCGTAAGGCATATTTTGATGCATCGTCTGCATGGCTTGGAATGCAGCGCCACAAGCTCCTCTGCTTTATTTTTCCCTCCATAAGAACTGGAATACTGGATAATAAGAACAGTCTGGAACGTTTTGTGTTGAGGTATCCTATACCCATTTACTTATGGCTTAAATGACTAAGCTAAGATGAAAGTTTTTTTTTACTAAATTGCTGATTTACTTTAACTTAGCAAAATGTTGCTTTTAATAATTTTTAAATGTACAACTCAACTGTCAGGTTGCTGTGAGTTTAATAAAATTAAGTGAACTTTGGCAAAGTCTGCGAGAGTTAAATTTTAAAACAATAAATTATTTTATCCGTCGATAAGTACTTATTGTATACCTGTTATTTATACGTTATCGGGTTTTTTAATTTTACGCAGGCGAAGTAGCGAGCATCAGCTAGTGTTAATTTAAAGGTAATTAATTGATCAATATATAATTATATCACCTAGCATAGAAAAGCTGGTATAATTTCGCAAAAGAGCTATGCTTAGTCTGTATATCTATTTAGTGTTGGTTAATATTAGTTCATTTGCATTAGTTCAAGTAACTAGTATAACGAATGTTTCAAATTATTAAACATATTGCGTGCGCACGATCAGCAAAGTACTATAATTTGAGTAAGACTCATTATATAGTCTTACACAACGTGTCTAAACTCTGTAATAAAAGCGAGCGTCGAAGCCTGTAATGTTCTGCCGTTATCTTTTAAAAACACATTTAATTTTACAGAGTGTACGAACTAATGAGAACAGAGAGCTGTAATATTTTACCGAATGTATTACTTTTAAAGTAAATAAGCTGAAAAACGGAAGTATTAATTCTCTAGTTTCCGGGTCCAAATTACAATTTAGACTTTTAAAACAAATTATAAAACATCTATAAGCAATGATCGTTTTTTCTATTTCATGGAATTGATGTCGTTTGCACTTTTGCCACCTTATAATAAAAAAGTAACCAGCTAAAAAATTAAATAAAAAAGGAAGAACAGTAAAACATAAATAAGTACTTATTTTTAAGTTATTATTATCAATACAGGCGTTTACATAAATGGCCAATTTTATTGTATTTAAAAGTAATAAACAGTCGGCCGGTAATTATATTTGATTTGTCAGCGTTATATGTGAAAAGAGTTACCTTCCGTGTTTGTATAACAGCCGTATTAGAAAGTCACTTGGCGCATTTACTTTACAACTTGTTTCCTTAATTTTGCGAAGCTGGTTTTTTCATTCGGTACAGTTGGAATAAGTTAGTGTTTGGTAAAACTTTGATAGATACCCTTATTAGTGTATTACATATATAATTATGTCTATTATAAGTAGTAAATGTATCATCATGCTGAAATATTCTTATAAAAATTACAAAATTATACTTACTTATAAAAGTTTTATCGTTTGTAAATTCTGGATAAAGTCGCTCAAGACTGATAATTTTCGACGTTATATGGAGTGGTCGTTGTATGGAGTGACAAAGGATATGTAATTTTCCCATCCTTATTTAAACTTAATGATTAAAACATCACACTTTCTAAGTTAAATAAAGTGTCGGCGACGTTACATCGAGTAACGTTATATGGAGTTTACATTATACGTTTCGGTAACAATATAACATAACGAATATATAGTTTTAAAAAGCTGCGCTTAGTTACAATGTAGTTGATTTTACTCTTATTATACAGGTTATTATTTACTTTATACATCTACTCTTATTATACATTATTAACCTCATTTTTACATATTGATAAAAATGCTTAAAACCATTAAACAAAGTAGTTAGTTATTTTATGAATTCAATCACTATTTAATGTAAAACTGTTAACGTTAGATAGCGTTATTCCAATACGGGGTCCGTTAGTTCGTGTCTTCGGAGCACACCATGCAAATCAGCTGTTGATAATATTAACAGTATGAAGCGAAGCATGCGGTCCAATAAATCAAATTACGCGGAACATATATAAGTGTTTTAATAGCTTTTTTAATTCCAAATATACACAAAGTAATAACAAATCAAAAATCACATTGGTACATGTCGGGTTTCAAACCCAGGACCTGAGGATTACAAGTCAAGTGCTCAAACCCCTGAACCACGGACGTGGTGACGACCCTTGAGGTATAACCGTCCTCACTTTATTCGGTTTTGACAAAATCGGTGAAAAACACCATTTTTGACTAGGGTAACTTCGTGTGCTTTTTGATTGACAGCTCGTTTTACAAAGTGTAGCACATTGAAACGTTAGCCAGCCATTTTGACAAACAAACGCGTCAACGTTTTTTATTAAAGCCGCTTACAAAATAATAGAGTAAATTGTTGAACTATAACACATAGCTTGCGTGGAATAGTTACAGAGTCAAAGTAAATCGGGCGAATGTTAAATTCACTTTTGAGGGAAAAAAATTATTTATTTTATTTATCTTTATTAAAACTGCTGCTAAACCGAAATTCTAAAAAAATCCTTGAGCATTTACTTTTATTCGAGTAACCGTCGTGTAGAAAAAAGAAAAATCTCGTATAAAACTACACTAAAGGTCTCTCTTAGGCTTGGCGTTAACCAATCATTGTTAATCTTATTTAGAAGTTCTGTGTATTTTTAATTGGATTCTACAGCGTTAAATATTGCTACTCGGATACATACAAACTTATTACTAATCTCTTACCATGCTATGCGACGATGTCAGTCAAGTAATTGGATGTTAGGACAGATTAGTGTAAGGAGAAGTACAGAAACTAAAAAAGCTATCGAAAATCTTAGGGTTCACCTGATGATCTACTCTAGGTCTCGGAAGGTACCAGACAAGTTAATATCTACTCTTTAACATAATGTGAATATTTGTTCTACAGAACCTAAATCTTGTACTAGTAAACAAAAGTAATTTGTCTACTTTGGTGGCGTAAGGCACATGTTTATGCCATTTATATTGTTTGGTACAACAATCTCCCTCAGACAATAGCGTGATAGGCCTATTGTTTGTAAGTTTTAATAATAATTCACGTTCATACTGAGATTACATTACATCAACCGACGAAAAACAATCGAAGGTGTAGTTTATTTGTACTGTCGAAACACTGGCATCGAACACCCGCGGTCGCGCGACACTTAAACACCTAAAACTCATACACCGAACGGCATAATATTGCAAACAAGGGGATGGTGATGGATAAAGTGGTACTCACCCGCTTGATGCCCCATTCACCCCCTGCAGGTGCCTGGTCTCTGTCAAGCCTAGTTCTGTCCAGGCTATAGGCGCCAGCGATGCTGCTTGCAGATGCATCCATATGCACTGTTATTGTTCCAAACGCGAAAATACAACGCGACCCCTTCCGTAACTAAATTGATAAAAACCGCCACTTCTGATTATCTTTGAACTCGTACTTTTTAGCCAACCGATTGACTGAGCTGCGTTCATACGACTCTTTCACCCGCACACCTCTCCGCAAGCCCCGCGCGGGTGAGAGATTCAAAACTACCCACTAGAGTGGGAAAATAAAAATGCGTCCGATTACCCGCATTAACCAAGGCTTCGAAATTCAAACTATATGTTCGCCACCAAATGTGGCAAACCCATATAATCTATACCGAACAGAAACATTGTCTTTGTCATTTTCTTTGAAATAATAGCGACGACAATTTTTAATACAAGGCAAGGAATATCACTGTTAAGCTTACATCATATGTATTCTCGAAGTTTATGTCGCGTATAACATACTGTGTGAAAGAGACCTAGCCAATTTTAATATACCTAGAGTGGACTTTGTTCTAACAAAACTAACATGGAATAAAATTGGGTTTTATTTTCGTTTTTTATTTGATTTCCTATTGGCTTGTATTTAGAATCGTGTGATGAAATAATTCTACAATTATAAAGAACATGAATAGACGCTATGTTTGAGAACTATTAGCGCACTTATAATAACTAAATGTTTTTAAATATCTAGCGTCAGTTTTCATTGTCATAGTGTGAGTAGGCACTCCAGTTCTCTTTCGCGAACCGGGACAGCTGCCAACTTCCATTCAATTTGCAACACGGATAAATTACAATAAAACCGCAATTATAACGCATTTATGTATTTTTTTCATATTTAATGCAATATTCTTAAGTGACTTTGAATTTTATTATGATTTTCGCAGTTTATTCTTTTAATAAAATCGTACATTCAGTTTCAGAAACAGTTTTAAATAAAACTAGTCTATTTTTGTATATTGTGGTGTATGTGGGTATGCCAATATAATGTACCGTCAGTAATATGAATAATAAATTAGTCCAGTACCAACCGACGTTTCATTCACATCCCTACATTACATTGGCGACGAGGATAGGATTTATTTTAAACGTTTTTTAAACAATTGAACGTTAAAAACAATACTCAAAAATTGTCAATTAATTAGTTAAAATAACTTGATTTATTTCAACAAGGTTATTAAACAAATAAAAGCCATTTAAATACTTACTCACTCCTACAACTTTTTTCATCAATCATTCTTGTACGAAAGATCTCTGTACAATGTTGTCTGAAACCATTAACTTCTTTTGTAGAATTTATTTAATCATTTCAACATTCAGCATTAAAAGTTACTTTCAACAATGAAGTATGAAAAAGTTTAGAAAATCTACAATTGAAAGTAGTTACATTAAACTTAATCAATAAACACTCAAAAGCTTATTTTTACGCATTTTTTGACATAATAAATATCCTCTCAAGACGATTAGGATCCAATTTAAGTTGTAAATAAAGGTAGTTAACGACCAGCTTAACATGACTTAGGAAAGTGGCTATTATTTGTTTATTGTCTATAATAACAAATATGCATTGTTCTCTATTGTTCTTGCCTCATTGCTTACTTCATCGATTGCCCCAGCTAACAAAAATGTCCTTTATTCGTAACAAACATTCCTATCACTCTAAATAATTAGTTATTATTACGTCTATCAATTAGTTTAGCAAAACTGTCTAGTGAATACATTTGTGAAATAGGAGACAGTGTACATATTTTTATAGGAGAAAAGAGCCAAGTAATGTTTAGCTTAAAAATGTTGTTAATTCATCTAACAACACACTATAGGCGGCGCCAGGCAATGATCTAAGCTAGTTATCATTAACATGATGTTCGAATATTGAAACAAATCTTAAACGGGCTTCGTAAACGCCGCTGATTATCTGACTGATCTCAAAATGTTGCCTTATCAATTAATACGTTGTTACATGTTTAAATATCAGTATTCAGTAATGATCCGATAAAATATCTAAGTACACGTACATAAAAGAGCCAAGAGCGTTTTACTTTTTAAGCTATAGACTAAGAATTTAACAGAAAATCTAAAAATAATAAAAACGTCCGTGCGATCGCAAAAAATAATTTACAAATTGGCTTTTAATATTGAGGATAATAGAAACAAATTATAACGCTCATAATGAAATACAAAATATTTCATAAGTAAAATAAATAGATGTACTTAAAATAATAAGACCTTCGAAAGTAACAAATTAATCTAACTTGTAAAGTGCCTAAAACTACAATTGTTCGTTGAGCTTTGTCTACTGACTTAAGGTTTTAATGAGAGGAATACCGCGTTAATTAAATAAAACGTGAACAAAGCTCGCACTGTGAGAGAATCTGCACAAAAACGTACATAAAATAAATGAGTAAATAACGCTTGCGACTGCTTTTTGTTTTCTATAAAACAGCGCACTCTAGTGTACGCAAGTGACATAACAACGAAGTATCAAAAATTAGCGTCGAAGTAACTTCGTAAATTCTTTATTGAAACTAAAAAGTACATAAAAATAGGATATAAAAATACTTGAGATTCGTGTAAATCATAAAATTATTTTTTACTTTGATAATATTACTGGAAAATGTAAAAATACGTAAAATATATTGTTGGTTTCACTTTAGTACGATATTTGACCGCTAGATGTAGGTTAGGTCGCTCGTAGCGTGAGATTCAATATGGCGGCACCATTCGCCTCTGGAACAGGGCGGGGAGAACAGTTGCCGAATCGACTCTACCATATCTACGCGTATTTTTTATCGAAACTGTGTGTTCGTGACTTGAACGCGGGTGATATTGGAAATTTATTGTGTGTTTCTGTGTTTATATGTGTTGTTTGTGTTATCAATTGTGCGTTATGGTGTTTTTGTGTGAATAACGTGAAACTACTTTAGGGTAACAATGTCTAGTAGTTGACATGTTTATCTGTGTCGTGTGTGAAGATTTTCCCTTGGCGTGAGGAGGTGCGGTGCGCTAGTGTGCGCGCTGGCGGCCGTGTGCGTGCCGCGGCCGTAGTAAGCGGCGATCCAATGATGGATTGCATTTCCATGGATGTATAGGTAAAGATCGCTACTCAATTTGTGCCTCTATTTAGCGAGTAATAGCCCAATGCCATACGCATACAAGTAGATCGCTTTTGGGCCGCATTCCACCAGTGCTTTGTTTTATACATAGCAAGTTCTTTATACTGTAGCGCATGTATTTCGGTGTAAGGATGTATCCTTGAATCGATAAGGATAATGTAGTTTTAGAGTGCGAATACAATCTTTTTAGGTTCTTTTGTGTTGTCTTATCGCTTTGATTTAAGGTCGTTCGGACCTTGTCGCTGCTTTGATCTTACGAAATGTTTTCCTCTACTGTTCATTGTGTAATATAACATTGGATACTGTTCAGTTTCTTTTTTTTTACTTTGTTAAGCCACTTTTACTACTTTATTTTTATGTACTATTAATAATCCAATAAGAAATTCATATAAGACTCATGTAACTTGCTTGCTTTTATGTTTACTTGTGTGATTACAACTAAGTATGTATATCGGAAGCTTTCTATCAACGCTATTCATACGCACGCACAAAGTCTAGCTTGTACAATTGAATCTTAATTCATTACATTCATGCGGAGTCGCGCGAGAATATGGTTCCCCTCGCTCTGTTCACTGCCTCTGGTTATCAGCTTACAAAATGACTGAAGCCGTCTCCCTCCTGCAGCCTGCTAATCCGTGTAACTCCGTCTCTTTTTGGCGCATATTGCGCGTTTTTCTTCTTTTGCCGCGTCATATGGCAGTGTTGAGGTACAAGCATAGTTGGCGAAGTGAAGTCGATTGGTTTTTACCAGCGCGTTTTAACAAAAACAATCGTTTTTAAAGTTGGCCCGTGGGCTGTAATTGATTCCGAGTCCTTTGTTTAAGAGTTTGATACATAGTATAGAGAGGGTATGTTAAGGGCATCTGCGCATCTTACCCGCGCAGTTAGAGGTTTGGTGCTCGTCCGTGTCGCACGTGGCCCGTCTCTTACCTCCAATCGGGTACCTTGCAATTATCCTAATAAGTTAACGGTAAATGAGATCAGTCAATCATGTAACCAACTTTGGATGCTGTTTGAAATGTAAGTTTATTTTGTAATGCAAGGAAGTACATTTTAATAAAAAAACTTTATCCCCTTTGTTTAGTTTTATAAGTTCAGAAACTGTTTAAAATGTAATAATACATTTTTCTAAAATTCAGGTTAAAATTAGAGGTTACATTTTTACTAGTAGAAATTAAATTGAATATAATCCATGTAAGTTCCAGGTATTCATTACGTCTCAATTTTATTTAAAAACCGTACCGTGACTAAAAAGAACTCATTTCGAAGTTTATAACTCGAGATTCATTTCAATGCAGTACATTGACGTTCAAAAGGCGCAATAAAAAGAGTTTATTAATATTCATCATGAGGAAAAGAGACGACGATAACCTTTTAGTCCATTAAAATGCTCTAATTGCATCTTTGACGTGGCATCGAGATATAAACTAAAGATCTGTTGTCGACAAACTTTTGTTTCAAATACCCACTTGTACTTTTAAAATATTTGCCTACTTTTTAGTGTATTAATATTATTTGGCTAGACTGGATGTCTTGAGGACTTTGACCTTATGCATGTGAATGTAGAGTTGCCTTTAGATTTTTTAAATTTACATCAAACTTATTACACAGTTTAATCCTGGGTAAATTTATATTGTCTTGAATAATTTAGTAAATTGAACTATGAAAAAATATCGTTATATTTTTTTGGTAAATACGTAGTGTATGTACATTTGAAAGTAACAGCGTTTTGAATTTTAAGTCGACGGTAGCTCAAAATTACTTTAAATTGTCTGACAGATTTTAAGAGGAACCGCACGCTTATAAAGCGAAGTTTTTAACATTCGTTTCTTTGGTCGTGAGTAGTTTATTTGCTTAATTTATTGTCTACTAGCCCGCAACTAATGTTAAGAATAAAAAAAAAAACAAAATAACCTACGAGGTCAACTAGACTATCCTTTACATCTATACCAAATTATATCAAGATCCCTTTAGCAGTATAGACTACTCACTGTAACAAATATTCATCCATCTACCTTCACATTTATAATATTAGTAAGATTAGTAAGATAGTCGGTCACTTCGTTATTTGCTGCTTAACTATCTTCTATTATAGAAAAGGCGCGAAAACATGTTGTTCATTTAAGTTTATCGTGTCACAAGTTGTTACAATGTAAGAGTTCAATGCACTACTTGATATCGCCAAGATAATTGTGATGTCTGTAATTGATTGCATAAGCAAGTCTCTTGATGTTCTCCAGCTTTGTGGAATCGTATTACATTGTTAATGTTAGGATTACCGTGTAATTAACGCATATAGACCGTCTCGTTAGCTCAGCGCCAGACAATGTCTAATTAATCATACAGTAAACCTAAATGTTTCCACTTCCTTACCAAAACATTACCGATGTACAGTTATTAGTGATAACATTTGAATTGGTAGATTTATTGGCTTTTATGTCCTTTTGATGACTGAACGATTCATTGTTCCATTATAAACTAGCGATCCGCCCCAGTTACGGTTGCAAAAATATACTTCTCATTACTTTTCTGTCGTTATTAGTTATAATAAAAAATATATGAGTGTTAATTTAGCTTTATAATAACGAAAGTATAAAGAAATCGGTTTAGTTTGTGAGTTTAATTTTTGGCAAAAATAATCAAATGTTCACTCTTTGAAAGATTAGTCTACGAGTAGAATAAGAAGGCAGATATTTGTCTCCGAGAATCCGTCAGACAAAACGATAAAAATATAAATAAAGCAGTGAGTTTTAATAGCGTTAGTTATTAAAGAACGAAGAAAAATAACTTGTACATTGAGTTACTAAGAAAAAATCTTAGTAAAACATAACATGTTTACTAATTTACCAGCAGTTTTAACAGAGAACTAGTATTTTTAACGATAAATGCGGAAAAATACCAGAGAAGGATTATTGAGTGTAAGAAGTCGCAAACTCTTGGCGGCAATTAAGCTCCGAGGCACGGACGAATTAGAAAAAGTTGATTGCTCGCCAAATTTTTTCCCTAACGTTGAGAGCTACGAGTGTTTATTAGTTAAGAATTGTTTAATTGCTTTAATATACCTAAAGTAATTTAATAAAAAAACCTAAAGTTACATGTAAATTAGAGTTCAAATGTGGGAATGGTTAGAAAATTACTTCGACTTAGTGAATATCCTGCGAGTGAACGCAACCAAAGCGATTTCTTATCGCTATTCAGATATCAAAATGTATGGCGGTGTTTCTGAAATGAAAAATATACATGGAATTGAGCCAAGTTCTATCCAGCTTAGTATACGAGGCTCGTACTCGTATCAATATGGAGTTAAAAATGCCATGTCCCTGGTTGAGAAACAACTTCCGATCAGTTGAAATAATAGCTTCACACTATAAACTGTTAAAAAAAAACTAAAGAAAGCTAAAAAGTAAATGTTTGTTGAAACCCCCAAAAAAACACTGTTTAAACGAAAGACTAAACTATTTTACGACTTTATCAAAAAATACTCAAATAAGAAATAGATTTTCAGGAATTGTCTATTTTCGTATCAAATACGTTCCACAATTGAAGAGGTAAAGAAAATATCTATTCTCAAAAATTGAGAAAAATTCTACTCTCAACGTTAAGCTTTATAATTTCGCAATTTATTTTGCTAAAATTACGATAAATGTTGTCTTAGAACTAGACATTTTCTAGCGAAGTAGTTCTTAATTTTATTTTTATCATGTATAGACCTTTTTTTTTTTTCTCGCTGGGAAAATGCATTTACGCATCCCCCCCGTTTACCAGGGGGGGTATGTGGGACTCGCCGGCCGAGAGATGGAAGATGGCCGGAATACCCACTAAAAACCCAGCGGTGTTCCTTCTGCTCGCCAGTGGCTGGGTCACGGGAACGCTTCTGCTTTCTTCCGCGACCACTATCCCGCCTAAACCAAAGTGAAGAGTTCGAAGGATGGTACATTTCCATATATTCTTAGTACTTAGTATGCATGTGTAAATCAATCCTTATTCAGGGTAACATCAATTTGTCAATTTGTATTACGTATAACACCGAGCGTATTCTCCCACTATCACATAATAGAATTTGCGTTGCGAATGGATTTGGTGTCTATCGGTGGTGACATTTGATTCACTGTTGTCGCAAACAAGATTTTGTTGGCTGTATTTCAAGGAAAATCCTCTCTGTTAATAATTTTATATTCAACATTAATTCTGTATGAATTAAAAGCTTAGCGTTTGTGTTGCGATTAGTCTTTTTTAGATTATTGGTGGATCTTATCAATGTGAAGTTCATATCAATCTTACGTTCGAAGTGACGCAGTATGTGCGTATACGCTAAAAGGATTTATCTATATTCTGCTTTTGTAAATTTATTTAAGGGTTTTTCTAACTAAAATTAAAAATATCTATGTAATCTTTCATCTGTTCTTTGTTTAACAAACTGATTATATTTTAATGATAATAATTTATTCATCATTAAGTGAAAAGCGTGGTGAGCCGTTTAATATGTAAATGTCATCACGATGGTAATCTCCATAAAATTAAATTTGGATTAGTAAAGTGAAAGTTACCTCTTAGTTATGTTCCGGCTCTTAATGAGCTTAACTCAAGTTTCTTGTTACACTTATTTTCAATTCGAATTGCAAAAGAAATCTAATAACTCAGTGTATATTTACTTGCTTTAACTTAAGGCGGTTTTTAGGTACTAATACTTAGAAAGAGATTTATAGTGTTGATTTCTCTTAAATTCATCACGAGAAATAATATATCTTAATTGAAAAAAAAAATGCGGTACACAGTTTTATACATTACAGGTAAATCAATAAACATATTTTTTTAAATTGACTAACAGTAACCGTAACTTTTAAAGTAGTGCAAATTTATTTGTAATATTTATGTCGTTTTTGAAGCTAATCCCAAATAAAATATGAACTGTAGTTAAGGATATAACCATGTAGCGTTAAAACTCCGTATAATTTGTATGAACCGTTTGCCGACCG